GGTTCAAACCCAGCCCTGGCCAAAAAAAAAAAAAAAAAATTTAAAAATTAGCTGGGTATGGTGGCATGCAACTGTAGGTAGTCCCAGCTACTTAGGAAGCTGAAGTGGGAGGATCTCCCGAGCCCAGGAGTTTGAAGCTACAATGAGTAAGCTATGATCACACCCTGCACTCCAGCCAGGGTGATAGAGCAAGACCCTGTCCCTTAAAAAACAAAACAAACAAACCACTAGACTTGAAACTAACAGGAAGGCCCTAGAGAAATAAAATGAAAATTCTTAAATATGTACCGGTGATAGTTTGGTCCTGTGATTAGGGGCAAAGACTATCCTAATTTCTGTCTAGACAAAATAAAGTACCTTTCCAAATATTTCAAAGATAGCCGATGTGACTGCCTAGTTGGAAATAGCTCTTCCTATATGGGCTTTAGCCTCCTCTACACACACACCCATCACCTCTGCTGAAGCCAGACCGCCTGTCCCTTGCCCTCCTCTGCACAGCATGGGCACTCTGTCCTACTTTCAAGGACACTACGGGTTGCATTTGACCTCATAACTTGTGCAGGGAAACAGAATGTTACTCACTGTGTAAAGACAGGGAGAGGAGAGTGTGATATCTGCCAAGAAGTTTTAGGATTTTATTTTTCCATTCCTTTTTGAAAACCTTGTTTGTGATATTAATGACATAGACGTGAAAGGTTTTGCTTCCTTTTTCACCACCACACCTTAATAAAAATGCCTTCTACTCCCTCAGATGGAAATAACTCGCCTAGTGTTCCTCTCTCAAAGGTAGTCGTCTTGTTTCCTCTTCCCCCAGCATATTCCTCTGCAGACACTATTGAAGTTCATGGTGGATATTGCCCTGGGAATGGAGTATCTGAGCAACAGGAATTTTCTTCATCGAGATCTAGCGGCGCGAAACTGCATGTAAGAGCCCTGGGCCATCCTGGAAGGGCCTGGACCTGGGGGTTGGGGGTGGCCTGCAGCTGCGGAGATATGGAGGAAGCCACATTTGGGAGAGGCTGGTGTGGCTTCCTCGCAAAATGGGATTATCACTGGGTGTTTGCTTGGGGTTTTTGTTGCCTCTGCCTCTGCCTCTGCTCTAGTTGACCTCCAGAGCTTTCTCCTGTGATGACTTTTTAATTTTCATTCCCTCATTCATGTTGGACTGCTAGATGTGACTTTTGATCCTTCCCCATTGCCAGAGTTATTCGCAAGTCAGCTACTCCTGAAGACAGTAATAAAAATTAAAAGGCTTTGTTTCCAGTTTTCATAATGCTTCCTTGTGAAGTTCTGTACTTTGAATACGTGGAAGCTTGCCTTTCACAGCAGACAATGGCTTATTATACAAAAGCTTGGGACTTACGTTCTCCCGTTTCTTAAACCTACTTCAACAGAGCCATTATCTGCTGGAAATCTTCAAAAACAATAGCTCTTTCTTGATTTTAAGTTTGCTATCGAAAGAAGCAAACTTAAATACATTGTTGTCATTTGCTTTTCTAGGTCAGAGATGTGACAGTGGAGCCCCCACCCTCCTGCCTCCCAACCAGCCCTGCCCCTCTGTCCCCTACCCGTTTCATAAACCTCATTTTTTGAAACCTTAAAGGGGGGTTGAATTTTCTTGTTGCTGTCATTTAAATAAGTTTCTACCACAGAGCTTACTCTTTCTCTTTCCTTTATGTTTTTCCCACCAGGTAGAGTGACCAGCTTTCTGGTTCGCCCTGGACTGAGGGGCTCCCCAGGACAGGAGGTTTCCAGTTTGGAAAGTCAGTGTAGGGCAAACGCACACAAGTTAGTCCCCTGGCCCAGACACTCTACACTGCTTCCTGCTCTTGCTTTTTTCCCTCTCTTTCCTCCTTCTTGTCTGGGAGCTGCTTTAATAATGAGCTGTAAGTGCAATTGTATGCTTTTATGTCTCTGTCCACTGTGCACAGGAGCCCAGCGGGTCCAGATCCCCACACAGATTGGAGCAGTGACGGACTATTACTCTTCTGGCTCCCCCTCACTTGTCCTGCCATTGGTCCCAAAGCAGGACTTTCCCAGGCTAAGGGTTCTCTATCTTCTTTTGGTCACTTGCCATAAATGTTTCCATCTATAGCTGGTATAGACCAGTGATTTTTTTTGGTGGAAGGCAGAGTCTCATTCAGTCACCCTGGATAGAGTACCATAGTGTCATAGCTCACAGCAACCTCAAACTCCTGGGCTTAAGTGATCCTCTTGCCTCAGTTTCCCGAGTACCTAGGACTAGAGCCACCTGCCACGATGCCATGGTAGTTTTTCTGTTTTTGGTAGAGATGGGGTCTGGATCTTGTTTAAGCTGGTCTTGAACTCGAGGCCACTTGTCTCAGCCTCACAGTACTAGGATTACAGGTGTGAGCCACTTTGCCCAGCCCCCAGACCATGATTTAATGTTGCCTCTGAGGTTGCTGAGGACATGAACTTGTTCTCTGCAGGTTGCGAGATGACATGACTGTCTGTGTTGCGGACTTTGGCCTTTCTAAGAAGATTTACAGTGGCGATTACTACCGCCAAGGCCGCATTGCTAAGATGCCTGTGAAATGGATTGCCATAGAGAGTCTTGCAGACCGAGTCTACACAAGTAAAAGTGACGTGGTATGTACCTAACTTTAATTCAGGGGCCCATGTCGCAAAGATGAGGATGCACTGATTGAAATGACTTAAACTGGTATTGAAAGACAGTTTACTTGTTTATGGAGACAGAGTCTTACTTTGTCATCTTCAGTAGAGTGTTGTGGCGTCACAGCTTACAGCAACCTCCAGCTCTTGGGCTTAGGCAGTTCTCTTGCCTCAGCCTCCTGAGTAACTGGGACTACAGGCACCCAGCTATTTTATTTTTGTTGTTGTAATTTGGCCGGGTTTGAACCCACCACCCTTGGTATATGGGGCCGGTGCCCTACTCACTAAGCCACAGGTGCCACCCCAAGACATTTTACTTTTTGAGAAACTGAGGTTTGGGACCATGCTCAGACCTCTCTTTTATTTCTTGCTAGATACTTTAATTCAGGTGGAACAGATTCTGGTGAAGCATCATAACACTCAGAAGAGCTGTGCTTTACATAGGCTTTTAATTTATTCTCATTTTTCTTTGCTATCAAAGGGTGACTCATTGCCTACAACTAAGATACTTCATAGTTGTATTAAGTTGAATGAATTCATCTGGTGGCTCTTTGGAACCACAATATTATACAAAAGGCACTGTGTGTAATTATACCCTTGACCCAAATTAGGAAAAGAAAACATCTCGCAGTAATGATGAAGCAGAGCTTTAAGCAGAGGTCTGATGTGTGATGAGGCTATTTCTGCCTTTGCCAAATTTCCCAGAACAACTTTCATAAAATTGGAGAACAGTGACCCTCCAACCCATATGAGTGTCGTGTTGGGAGAGCAGTGCGTCTCGCACATAATTGCCAGCTTTGTGTATGATCATCGGGGCTTTAGGGAAATGACCTTTCCCAATGAAAAAGTCCATTCAGCCTTTGTGGAAAAGACTTGCATCCTAATTTGTTGTTGCCTTATTCTCAGTGGGCATTTGGCGTGACCATGTGGGAAATTGCCACGCGGGGAATGACTCCCTACCCTGGGGTCCAGAACCATGAGATGTATGACTATCTTCTCCATGGCCACAGGCTGAAGCAGCCCGAGGACTGCCTGGATGACCTGTGAGTAAGCTTCTGTGTCCCTGGGCTCTGCAGGGGGTAGCCACTTGGCTCTGCAGACACCTGGGGAAATGCAGCTTGGGGGTAGGGGGCTGTAAGCCAAGTGGGCATGTACAAAGGGTGACACCTGCTGACACCCCCGACCAGGAGCCTTCCCTGGTGTGGTGTAGGAGATGGTGTGTGGCGTCTTCAGTGAGCCCATCAAGCAAGCCTCAGCCTTAAAGGATGGTCACTGTCAAGTCAAGGTGATTCATCTGTCTTGAAAGTCTTTACGTACCTCTAGGAAATATATCTGCAGATGAACAGGTTTGCATTATAGTGTATGAGGTGTTTGAATGACTCCTCATCCTCTTTCAGTCCAGTTATCCTTCTCTATTTATTTTTTTTGAGACAGTTTCACTTTGTCACCCTCAATAGAGTACTATGGCATCATTGCTCCCAGCAACCTCAAACTCTTGGGCACAAGCAATTCTCTTGCCTTAGACTTCCAAGTAGGTTGGGCTACAGGAGCCTGCCACAATACCTGGCTATTTTTAGAGACAAAGTCTTGGTCTTGCTCTTGCTCAAACTGATCTTTAACCTGGGACCTCAGGCAATCCACCTGCCTCAGCCTCCCAGAGTGCTAGGACTACAGGCATGACATCTCTCTCTGTATATAGCATTTCAAACACATCACTCACAGTGATATCCTTCATCAGGAAATTTAGAAATCTAAAGCCATTGACTTTGCTATCAGGCTGGTCATCAGAATTGCTTGGAGGATTTTTTTTTTTTTGAGACAGAGCCTCAAGCTATCACCCTGGGTAGAGTACTGTGGCATCACAGCTCACAGCAACCTCCAACTCCTGGGCTCAAGTGATTCTTCTGCCTCCACCTCCCAAGTAGCTGGGACTACAGGCACCTGTCACGATGCCTGACTATTTTTTGGTTGCAGCCGTCATTGTTTGACAGCCTGGGCTGCACTCGAACCCACCAGCTTAGGTGTATGTGGCTGGTGCCTTAGCTGCTTGAGCATCAGGTGCCGAGCCCTTGGGGAATATTTTTACAATGCAGTTCCTTGGCTCTGTGCCTGGAGGTTGTGATGCTTTTGGTACAAAGTGGGCCCAGAAGTGTGTGTTTTAAAATTCTCTCTGAGATGCTCTGAACCTATAGCACAGTGGTTATGGCACCGGCCACATGCACCGAGGGTGGTAGGTTCAAATCTGGCCCAGGCCAGCTAAACAACAATGACAACTGCAACAAAAAATAACTGAGTGTTGTGGCAGGCTCCTGAAGTCCCAGCTACTTGGGAGGCTAAGGCAAGAGAATCACTTAAGCCCAAGTGTTTGAGGTTGCTGTGAGCTGTAACTCCACAGCACTCTACCGAGGGCAGCATAATAAGACTCTGTCTCAAAAAAAAAATGCTCTTGGAGAGACCATGTGCTCAGTGAGGTGTGAAAAACCCCAGCTCCAATACACATAGAACCTTGGTGCACATCCATTCCCGACAGGCTCCTCTCTGTCTTTAAGGCCAGGCTCTGCCTCCTAACTATCCTCCACATGTGTTGTGGCCCTTGTAGTTGATTTAACCTCTCTGTGCCTCAGATTATCAGCCCCCCAAAAAGCATTATCATATATCCCTCAGGGAGAAAGTGACTAGAATGCTGGGCCATAAGAGGCACAGGAAGTAAGTGTTCACATAATGATGCCAATTATTAATGCCATCAGAATAAATTGATATCTCGGCTCAGCGCCCGTAGTTCAGTGGTTAGGACGTCAGCCATATACACCAGGGCTGGCAAGTTTAAACCTGGTCAGGACCTGCTAAAAAAAAAAACTGCAACCAAAAAAAAAAAAAAGAATGAATTGATATCTCTCCCAGGCCACCATTTTATTTATTTATTTTTTTGAGACAGAGTCTCTCTCAGTCACTCTGGGTTGAGTGCTATGCCATCATAGCTCACAGCAACCTCAAACTCCTGGCTCTAGTGATCCTCTTGTCTCAACCTCTCAAGTTAGGCCTGGTGCTACAGGTACCTGCCATAATGCCTGGCTACTTTTTCCATTTTTAGTAGAGAAAGGGTCTTGATCTTGCTCAAGTTGGTCCCGACCTCCTGAGCTCAGGCAATCCACCCATTTGGCCTCCTAGAGTGTTAGAATGACAGATGTGAACCACTGCACCTAGCCTTTGCTGACCTTTTAAAAACAATTTCTTGTGTTGCTGCCTATAGCTTGGTGATTTGAACCCTCCTCGTGGTGTGTCTCCCCTCACCATTCACCATTCTGTATAATGAGGGTATATCTCCATGGACCTGGAGAAGGGCCTTCTTGCTTAGTTAGAGAGACCATTTCAGGGTCAAGGCCTGTGCTGGCTGTGTCATGAAGTGCCATGCCTGGGTGCCAGTGTAGGTTAGCATATGCTGCTCCCCCCACATGCGCCCACACACACACAGGGCACACACATGCAGGCACGGATACACAGGCATCCACAGGCTTTGCCCACGAGCGAGAACCTGGATCCATTTGCCCTGAGGCCTCCCAAGTCCCTTCAAAGCCAAACAGAAGGGGACTATTTTCATCAGTGCCTCACCCTGCCTGCTGGTAGTGGTGGGGACTGGCTAACATTGAGAACACAAACAAACATTGTAAATCCTTTTAAAACCTCATGGGATGCTAATTAAATTAGTTCTAGGGTTTCACGGTAGATTTGAAAAAAGGGCCATGTTAATGAAGTGCTTACTTCTGAAAATGAGGGACCATTTCTATCAAATAATATTGGCTAGAAAGAGTTTCGTTGCAGTTTTTTCCCTAGCTTTCTCTGTACACAAAAGCAGTTCATATCTGCAGTGATTATCTTGGGTCTTAATGAGGTCTAAGCTGTGTCACACTGTGGTTTTAGAGCCAGAATGAGAGAATGCTGAGTCGGTTTTCTGGGAGACTTTTTAGGAGACAGAGCAGCAGAGTCAGCATGCACCACGTGGCTGGGGAAGTCGGGCAGGAGCGGGCAGACCCCAACCCCACCTCCCGTGGGCTCTGTGCACTCCCTGAGCAGAGGCAGCTTGACCCCTACTCTGGCCTGAGGCTCTGCTGAGCCAGACTCTGTTCCTCTCCAATCTGGATGCTGGCAAATAACAACATCCCCTAAAGAGGCCTCTGTGTTTCCTTTTCTGAGACATTTCCTTTTAAAAGTGAAATGAATCAAAAGTCAATAAATAAATAAAAATGAAAATGAAATGAATCCTTCTGAACTTCTTCTGTCTAAACATAGCTGAGATGAGTTGACTCTTATGTTTAGTTACTTCTCAGTGTTTGAAAAGTCAACTCTGAAATAGGACAATGGGAGTCACAGAGCGCCCTTTGATCCTGCCCCTCCAAGGGCCACCTCTCCTCACACCATCAGCCCCACCTCTGCACGGCCAGGCTGTCGGCCTCTGTCTTCACTGCCCAGGAGGTTACTCCCTGTGATGCCCTAATCACCTTCGGTGGGATATCCCCCCAATGCCCACTGAGCATCCCGGCCTCCTAATACATCCTCTGGGTGGCAACCAAAGAACTTTTTAAAATTATAACCTTGGGCAGCGCCCATAGGTCAGTGGGTAGGGCACCGGCCACATACACCCAGGCTGGCAGGTTCAAACTCAGCCTGGGCCAGCTAAACAACAATGACAACTGCAAAAAAATAAAAGTAGCTGGGCGTTGTGGCAAGCACCTGTAGTCCCAGCTACTTCAGAGGCTGAGGCAAGAGAATCGCTTACGCCCAAGACTTTGAGGTCGCTGCGAGCTATGATGCCACAGCACTCTATGAAGGGTGACAAAGTGAGACTCTATCTCAAAAAATAATAATAATAAATAAATACAAAATTTAAAAACAAAGTGAAGTTATGGTGTAACTTACTCTTCGTCTCAGCCTAGGGATTCCTAAAGTGTTCTCTCTCTCTGTTTTATCGTGCTCCTTTAAATGTCACTCCATCATGATTCGTAATTACACTGGGCCCTGGGAATGGAGAAGAGAGAATTGTCCCATGTAGAATGCCACAGATGAGGTCATGAGGCTCACTTGGATGTAGAATTGTCCAGTCTGAATCTGATTTCCCTGCCGCCCGCATGACTATAGCACCTTCTGGAGCATCCCTGAGGCCACACTCATCCTCATTACAAAGTGTTAGTGACAGGGCTGTTGAGAAGACTGGACAGAGTGACACCTATGACACACTGATTCCCGCCCCCACCCCTGCTCCTGTCCTCCTTAGCACTAGCCCCAGGGTCCTAGCCAACTCAGCTCTCCTGATAACAAGCCAACTTGTGGACATAGGACAGAGGTCAGAGAATGTTTTTTTCTTCTCTTTTCTTTTTTTTTTTTTTT